TGTCAATTACAACATTAGAAGCCACAGGAAAATTATTACACTGAGGAAACACAAAATTACAAGCTGAAGTTTTGAATTTATTCAGAATTAATGGAGAAAACGAAGTTTGATCAAGAATATAAAGGTTCCTGAATAGTCTACCAACTGCCTTGATTCCTTCAGTCAGACAGTCCTGTAAAAGGCAATGGTTGACAAAGAAAATGAGTTTCAAGTTCGAATTCTTTGTCAACTTGCTGACAGACAACAAATTGAATTTAAAAGTAGGGATATGTAAAACATCTTGCAAAGTAATGGTAGGATGAATAAGGATATCACCAGTGTTTTGAACAAAATTAACGGATGCATCAGGAAGATACATAGGAATGGCTGAAATGCATGGTTTGGGTTGCTTGAAAAAATTTAGGTTGCTACACATATGATTAGATGCCCCTGTGTCTAATATCCAAGAGCCTATTTCTAACAAGTTTGAAGCATGAAAAGTAAGAATAGGTTCAAGTTTGAGAACAGAACCTGCAAAATCACTGAAATGTACAAAATTAATCATGTCACTTCCATTGCTTCCTTTCATCATTTTTACCTGTTCCTGTTGTATCATCTCAGATAGATTAAAATTCTGCATCTTATCTCTCACTTCCTGATTAGTTCCAAGCGGTGTATCAGCCATGTTTGCTGAAAACTTCATAGTGCCAGATCTATTTTGATTTTTTAATTGCTTGAACCAATCTGGATATCCTATAAGTTTGAAGCAACTATCCTTGTTGTGCCCATTTATCTTGCAATAGGTACAATATAGTAATTGTTTTTCCCTCTTTACCATTTCATAACTTTTCCCTCCCATAGGTCTAACTCCCTGATCCTTCTTCAGATTGTTCATCTTAGAAAACATTGCACTCATTTCAGTTTCATTACCAAAGGCAATATGTACCTCCGTCTGTTTCTCAATTCTTTGGATCATAGCATAAGCCTTGTTGACAACAAGTAATGGCTCCATAACTAAAATTTGGCTCCGAACTTGTTCATATTCCTCATTTAATCCCATCAAAAATTGCATCAGCCTATTAAACGAAGTGATATCTGATACTACTTTGGTTGAACCACAGGTGCATTCGAGTAACGGCATAAGATATGTTAAGTCATCCCACTGTCCTTTCAATTTTGTGTAGTACTGAGATACTGATTGATTACCTTGTGTTATCGAACAAATTTCCCTTTGTATCTGGTACAACTGTAGACCATTACAACCACCGAATCTCTCTTCTAATTCATTCTAGAGCTCTTTAGCAGAAGTGGTGTACAAAAAAGCATCAACAATATCTTTTGAAATAGAGTTTAAGATCCACGAAGTTATCATACAATTGACTCTATTCCATTTTATAAATTGAGGTGAATTCTTAGCTGGAGCTTCAATAGTTCCATCAATAAACCCTAGCTTCATTTTAGCACCGAGTGCAATACGAACCGATCTACTCCAAGCTAGAAAGTTTTTTTCCAGTAAGAGGCATAGTGACAAGAGACATGCCTGGGTGATCAGAGTTATCTAAATGAAGAGGATCTCCTTGATCAGCTTTGTGACGACCTCTATTTGTCTGATCTCCATTTATATGTGAATTGTTACCTTCTTCGAATTTGTCAGTCATCCGATAGTGAAATCAATTTGAATCACTAATAATCAGTGTGCATTAGATCCTATTTCCAAGATCTTCTTGATCGGATACCATGAAGAAATCGAGAATAGGAGAATTGAAACCTTTTATTCAATTAAACTCACCCTGAAATACAGAGCAACATCAGGTATATATACCGGCTAAAAATAAACATAACGGAAAGATGAAAGTAATTTCCTATCAAGGTACCAAACCATCAAAACAGAAAAGGAAGGACAGATAGAATAATTGCAACTGAGGTCCTGAGGAATATAAAATGTAAACATTGAGTGCACAGAATTCTATATTTTCCTCATATGTAACATTTTCCATGGAATTCGTTGCAATCAAACATAACCCGACTATTTTCATTACTCCACTAACTAGCACTGAATTCTCTCTCACACACCACTAACTCCCATCACTCTCAATTCCTAGAATACAAAGCCAGAACCCATATATATAGGAGTGATATGTCGGTGGAGTTAAAGGCTTTAATTCTTGGAGAGATGTAGAATGCGGTGAGCAGTATCTCAATAAGGTATTCTCCACATTTTTCTTAAGCATACTTATTCATTACAGAATTCAGATAATATAGGAAAAAATTAGATGAACCTTCTCTCCATTTCTCCTTGTTTCAAACTCTGTGACAAATAAAGTTCAAAGTTGCACTAATTGAAATTCCCTCTTCTTCGTGTTAGGTGGAAATAAATATTACATGTTGGATTATATAAAATTAACGTACGTCTCTTCCTTTCATAATCTCATAATTAAAAGAGTAAATATTCTTGGAAAATTAATATGTTTGACTGTTGAGTTGGATCATTAGTTTTTTAAAATAAAATTATTTACAACTAAAAAAGTAAAAGAAATTTATGTTTATAGATTTTAAAATTTTGGACCTTTTTAAAATTCGGGACCTTAGGTTTAGAATCTAAGCTGGCTAATCGTGGAGCCAACTCTAAGTATGATGGATCAATAAAGCTATTTGTACAAAGTTGAGTTACAAAAGTTGGGTTACAAAATGTGTTGGCAAAATCCAGACTGTTGATTTCAAATGATTTAAAAATCTGTTTTCAAAATGATTGGTGTAGATGTTATTTTATCAACCAATTTTGTAACCCAACTTTGTACATATAGCATAACTCATGATGAATTCTTTGTTTTCGCATTTCAAAGAGTATAATTTGTACTATTATCCTTCCTTTACCTATCTCCACCTTCTAGATTATGTTATACAGTTAACGGTGAGAATGATTTTATTTTTTTTTTAACTAAAATATCAAAGAATATTATTCATCTTAATCCATCATAATACCTACCTAGTATTATGTATTTTAATTTTATGCTCAATTCATTATACGAGCTAACATGATGCTCTGGTGAAATTTTTGTTGGCCATGATTGGATATGTGGGTTGGGAAATGGAAGTGGGAGTGGTGGTGGCGGGTGACGGGTGAGTGGTGGTGTTGGGTGGTTAGGCGACAACGATGGCACGGTGATGAGTGATGGCGATGGTTGTAATGGTGAATGGTGGTGTTGGGGAGAGAGAGGAAGATGAAATGAATTTTTTTTTTTTTTTTTAGTTTTGATATTTTAATTATTTATTTGGACTCATTTTTGTTGAAAATTTTGGCACCATGGTTCTAATTTTTTTTTTTTTAATTAGAGGGCATATTTATTATTTCACAAATTTTTATTGAAAAAATAAACGTTAGGAGTATTTCATGCTAAATGTTTCAAATAGGCATTTTGTGCTATTTTCTAAAAGTACGAGATTTTCAACGGTTTGACTAATAAATAAGGGATATTGTATTGTTTAACCTCTCGTATATCTTCTATTCTATATATTAAAAGTGGCTATGTAATGAAATTTCTTGTTTTTAATGGAAAAATTAACGGAATTTGTTGTTTTAACGGATTATATAACGAAATTTCTTGTTTTAAACAGGCAGTTGGACCTTCTTTCAGTGTTTTTATCATAACTTTGTATTCCGATATCCGATTGAGGCGATTCAAAATACGTTGAAAATTTAACTCATCTGACTACAATTTTGATTCAGACATCATTCTCCAATTCGATCACTTTCTATGCTAAAAATAGGTCTCAATATGAGACTAAAACATCGGAGCATAACTTTTCGGTTGGGAATTGATTTTTGATCATCTTTTGACAAAATCTGATTCGATTGACGTCTTCCTTTATCCAATTGACTACAAGCACTCTCAAATCTTCATCGTGAGGTTCGGCACAACTTTTAAGTATTTACATTTTAGTCCGCGAACTTTGGATCCCTTACAATTTAACCATTTCTCCAAATTTGTTAACTTTTGCTTATTTTCTTCGATCTCACCAACTTACATCACAACATCAAAATCACACATCTAATTATTTATCAATTATATAAACATTACATCATTAATTATTTAATTAACCAAAAAAAATTACATCTTTATTAATAACAAATTAATTCTTAAACAAAACTATTAAATATAAACTAGGCAAACGTGTATTGCACGTTGCTTGCACCTAGTATAATAAAAACATGTCTAGACAAGCTTAAAAACAAGTAACGTTCAATTACGTTCAAAAGTACTGTTGTTTAATTTTGACCAATAAGAATCTATTGTAATTATAAGTAAACTCTTTTAAGCTTGGCTAGACATGCTTGTCTGTTTAATATCTTGTAAAGTGACTTTATGGATTGTTCCATATCTCTCTCTTTCATAAAGAAAGAAAAGCTATCTTCACGAAATGGACACTTTTGATTTTAATATCTATATATATATATATGAACATAGCCTCCATTTGTACAGTATATGATGGAGACAGCATACCTATTCACACGTGAGTATGAAGTACGTTTCAAATCATTGGTACAGACTATAAGAGCTAACAGGGAGTATATTTATCTTCTGACGAATTTCCAATCTAGGGTTTGTGTTCAATAAATCTTCTACGCCACGGAGAATATACTGGTACTATTTTTGTTTTTTTTTTGTTTTTAATAATTCCTCCATTGAATATCAGACGAAGAACATTTTCTTGGTCCAGAGATCAAGAAAATTAGTCTATCGTGAGAGGTGAGATTCTACTAGTCCAATCTACCTTAAGATCCACCTATATGTGTTTCTTAATTTCTTGTACACGGGAAAAGAGATCGATTTACCGAAACAACAAGTATATCTTGTATACTGTCTTCATATTGATTTTCTCCTGATCAATGAACACTTGAAAAAAGTGGATCTGTGCAAATCTTTCTGTATCTATTTTTTTTTTTTTTTCCTATTTTTGATTTCGTAATTTGAAGGGAAGAATTTGATCTTGCTTTTTGTTCTTAAATTTGATCGTAGGACATGGACATGGAAATTGATGAGTGCCTGGTCAATTCAGAAGGAGAAGCAAATCTCGATGAATTCTGTGATCTTGAGCCTATTCTTGATGAGATATTATTTTATGATCAGCAATTATTCACCCCAATTGATGCTTTAAATTCCCAGTCCAAACAGCTGAGTAATTATAGCAGCTGGAGTTCTTATGTTAATGGTCCTCAAGAAATTATAAGGACAAAGGCTTCTTCTTCCTCCTCCTCTCAGTTAATTTCTTTTGGAAATTCAAAGCAAACTGATGAGAAATTTCATAGGATATTGCCAATGGATTCTTCCATATCCTCAAAAATTTTATCAACAAAAGAAACTTCTGGTAAGAACAAATTATATGATGCAGCACTTGAGATGGGTGCCAAGAGAGTTTGCACCGTGATCAGGAGCCCTTTGCAGGCTCAAGATCATGTTATGGCCGAGAGGAAACGCCGAAAGAAGCTAAGCCAACTTTTTATAGATCTTTCTAAAGTTATCCCAGGTCTGAAAAAGGTAACATTTTCTTCCAATAAAACTATTCTACTCGCTTTAATATTTAGTTAAAAATTCCCATTTGTTTGATAATATTTAGTTAAAAATTCCCATTTGTTTGATTCTCTAGAAGCAAATTTGATGTCAAATAATCCGTTGATACTTGATTTTTTTCAGTTGGACAAAGCTTCTCTACTAGAAGATGCCACCAAGTATGTGCAAGAGCTTCAAGAACGCGTAAGAATCCTCGAAGAAAAAGCTGAAGAGGCCAACAAAAACTCAATCCCTAAATCTAGTTTTGCTAATTATTCTGCAACAATTAATGATGATACTTCTTCTTCATCAAAAGAGAGCTCCAATGGCAGCACAAGAGAATCAGTCCCAGCTGAAATCAATGCCAGAATTTCAAACAAGAATGTACTGATTAAAATTTGCTCCAAGAAACAAAAGGGATTGATATCAAGAATTCAGTATGAAATGGAAAAACTGCACCTCAACGTCTTAGACATTAGAGCCATGCCATTTGGAAGTTCTTCTGTTGACATAACCATTCTTGCTGAGGTGCGTACAAACTCTAACTTGACATTTATGTATTTTCGCCTCCAAAATCTTACTTTGAGGAACATCAAGTAGTAGAAATAGAATATAACAATTATAAGAACACAAGAAACTCCAAATCAATAAGGAACCAAACCATGGCCGTAAAAAAATAAACATTTAATTATCTATTATTTGCAAAATTATTAGAACCCGATAACATCTTTCTCATTCCAAACTCTAAAGTAAACCTCCATAGTGTATATAGCCCATGTTTGGAATTTTAAAAGTTGCTAAAAATCTCAAATCGAAGTCAACAATTAATTTTAACTACATATTTTATGGAATTCACAACTTTTTAACTCTACATTTTATTAACTTTTATCAAAACCTACTAAAATATGATTTTAATCTACTCCAAACTGGGACATAGTGTGAGACTACAAGGTATCCAAGTCTCATATCCAAGATAGTCTATAGCTATTTGACGGAGAAATTTTAACTAGATATTATTTAGTTTTATTTTTTTCCAAAATGAATTTTGCTCCCGTCTAAATTGAATAAATATTCTCGTCAAGTTTGACATTTGATGAGAATGCACGTTCAAAAAGAAAGGGAGAGAATTTGGTGATTAGTACTTTTGAAGAGAGGCTGACTTGTTAAATTCAAAAAAATGTACATTGTTTATAGGATTAAATTAATTGTACACACCTGGTGAACATTAAATTTGAAATTTCAAATGCTATCAAAATCTATACAATTGATTGTTTAAAGTACTGTGAAGACCGATGTCTAAAAAAATGTCACCTCACAAGAATGTCAAAATTTAATGTAAAATTTAGTGTAGATGTAGCATGATTGTTTACAAATTCAATATTGTGGATAAAATTCATTTTCTCACTCTAAAAGTGTCTTATGGAGGAAATTTCTTTTTTCACAAATTGGTAAAGAAAATACAAATTAAGAAAGGCTCATAATTATAAGTAAAGAAAAGAACCTTTTTTTTCCCACTAGATCGATGAGGGACTTATGCCTATCATATTACAAGTTAAAAAAGTCAATTTTACCTGCAATAATACAACTCTAATTCAGTAATTCTACTTTATATAGAACCATTAAAAGTTAAAATCAAAAAACTCACCATATTAACTGTGAATTAAGAATTTCTCTGTCTCCTCCAAAGTAAACAATTGTAATGCATGACTTCGTCTGTTAAAAGATATGAAACATTTAATACGATGATGTTTTTCAGTTTTTTTTTTTTAAATCATTTCCATACTAGTATGATTTTGTAATTATTATAAAAAATTTCATTTATAATTATTTATAACTATATAAATAGAGTCTTACTTTAATTCATAGACATATAAATTACAATAATTTTTCGAGCCATCTCAATTGTTTGACTTAATATATTCAATTCATGATTATTAAAGTATGTATATTTATGGTATAAAACAAAAGCATTTTACATTTCTCGTTTGAAACTTTCATCTTCATGCAATATTTGAAAATACACATCTTTTTTTTTTTTTTCATTTTCATTTTCCTCTTCACGTCTTTATATCTTCTATTGTTTATATTTAATTTTGATTTTCAAAATACTTTATGAACTTCTTTTTGTGACTAATTTTCTAGGGCCATTTGAATTTAATGTACTTCTGTACATTTTATAGAAGTACGAAAGATTTTTGTAAACTTTTACATCCTTTCAGTTTTAAAGGCTTTCTTAAATTTTCATAATTTTTTATAGATTTTAATGAGCTTTTATAGACTATAGTTTTAAAATATTTTCATAAATTTAATTAAAAATCTTATACATGGTCTTAAAAATATCACACTACAAAGAATCTAAGCAACTGAAATAATTGAAGTTGTATCAAAAATAAATATAAAAGAAAAAGACATATTCTCACCATAAAAAAAAAAAAAAAAACAATACATGATAAAAGATTAATTTTATGATGACCTAAACTTGTTGAAATTTATTATTAAACTAACAATCAACCATCAGAATTTAATTATAATTTTATTTCTTTTTCATAAAAAAAATGGGGGAATGATGAACCCAAGGAAAGAAAAAAAAAAAGGAAAATATTGAAGAGAGAGAGACACACAGATATTAATTTTAATTTTAGAAATGGGCGTGATCTGGTTTGGTCTGATTATGAATGAAATTATACCCAGTTGGGTACAAATGGAAGTTTTAGAAATGTAACCATTGGTTTCATATCTAACTCGGGAATCGAACTAATCCGTTCCCGTTCGATCCAATCCAGTTCTTTAGATAGAAAACATAAATAGAGTGTGAAACAACATGTCAATCTTGTAATCTAACATATCAAGAAATTAATTAAACAAATACTAAATCACTAATATAGTTCCTGGTGCTTTTTTACAACTACTAAATATGTTTTTCCTACGAGAAATTTAAGTCCTTACTTAAAGATTGAACGAAAAATATATATATTATTGTATTGGCGTTTGCATTAAATTTATGGATTTGTAAAGTTTTTATGAAAATTTTAGTGGTATAATACTGTCTTTGTTTTGTGGTTATTCTTCTTATACAATCTTTGGTCTGAATATATTGTATGCAGGCGGAGAGTGAATTCTGCGGGACAGTAAAGGACATGTTTGAACACCTCGAGATCGCTTTTCTCAATCCAGGAACATGACTGACACCAAAACCAACTCAAATTGGATCCCTCTTAATTACTTTTTTATTAGTTAACCCACGTTTTACATCTGAAAACCTTTGAATAATCCCTCATTAAAGCTTGCTTTCTTTTTACCTGCTCGAGGAAATAATTAATCTCCGTCATCTCTCCGGTTTGCTCTTTTCTTGGATTTCTAGGGTTTGTAATTGTTAAATATGTCTTGTTGCTCAAATTTTAACATGCAGTACATGACCTTGATCAATGCAATGTTATTAATATGAGTCGGGCGGATATGGGGGAGGCCGCATTCTGCTTCAGCCCAATGCAAGCTAGACCGTATGTCATCATCCTGTGTGACATTTTTTCCAGAAAAATTATAGCTAGGCCCAAATTATGAATTAGCCCACTACCCACCTTCTTTAATATTAGTGATAATTACATAAAACCAGTTATTTAGTTTTCAATTTATGAAAATCAGGTTTAAGCTTTTTTTAATCAAAAATCAGGTTTTATTATTTTTACTTAATAATAATATTATAAAATTAAAATAACATATATACCCACCCTACTACCTACCCGACCAATAAAACCCAAACTCTATCCAAACCCTAACACAATCTAATCCATTTCATTTCTCTCAACTTTTCTCTCCACCGCCGTTGCCTCCACCGCTGCCGCCCGCCACCTCCCTTCTCCTATCCCTCCCCATCCCCCTCCCTCCATCCCCCTGCTGCGAGACGCTGTTGCCGAACGGCGGCAGCATCGTCGTCACGCTGCTGCGGTTCGGCAGCAGCGTCACCGTCATTAGCTGCTGCGATTTGCAGCAGCATTCCCTTCCCCAATCCCTCCCTTCCCTCTCACAGGCAGCGTCCCCTCCCCCTGCCGGCGTCTCGATGCTGCCATATTTACAGGTTGTCTGGAAGGCAATGCAACGGTCTAAGTAGAAAGAGTCGGGGGATTTTTGTTTTGCTATTGTTGTTGCTATTGGGCGGTGGTGATGGTCGTGTGGTAGTGGTGGTTTTTCTGTTATTGTTGTGGTGTGTGACCTTGTGGTATTTTTTGGTGTCTGTGACCTAGTTACCTCACACCAGATCTAACAAATGTGAGCCCCGGCAGTGGTGGCATTGGTGTTTTTAGTTGGGGTTTTTTTGGTTGTTGGAGTGGTGGTGATTATTTTTACGTTTTAGTGGTGTTGGAACTGTTGTGGCGATAGTTGTGTGTTGTTGTGACGGGTCGACGGCGGTGGTAGTGGCGATCGCGAGTCTCTGTGACCTAAGTAGGTGTCTGTGACCTAAGAATTGTGAATGTAAGTCACTGAAATAGAGTTGCGACAAGTAAAAGTTTTGATTTTTTTCAATCTGTGACCTAAGTGGGTGTCCGTGACTTAAAAATTGGGACTGTGACTCACTGAAATAGAGCTGTGACCCGTAAAAGTTTTGAATTTTTTTAATCTGTGACCTATAAAAAATTACCGGTGACCTTAAAATTCTTGATTTTGTGACCTACGAAGTTAACTGTGATCTATAATTTTTTTATTAGTTTTGATCTTTGGTGGGGTGGGGTTAATTATATTATATTATAGTTAAATATTTAATTTAATATAATAATTGTGAAATATAATTAATTAATTCAAAAAAAACCTGATTTTTGCAATTTTAAATATCGGGACCTGATTTTTGATTTCCTAAAAGTAAATCCATGAACCATGAATTTTTCCCTTAATATTAGTCTACTCACAGCCCAACTTTTTAAATGGACAAAAGTTTTAACCCAAATTCTATAATCAGCCCATTTACAAATCCCTTAACTCAAATCCTTACTCATAGAATTCAATCTTCTTTCAGCATGTTGTGGGTTGTTGGTTTGTTCGAGACGAGTATAAAATCAATTTCCAGATGCTGAAGAATTATCCATGATGATATTTCCTTGTGGATATCGGTTACAAGGAATTAGGGCTACTTTCACAAGTTGGGTCCTCCTTCTAGCGCCAAACTGTTGACATCGAAAATTGTATGAACAAGATTAAAGCCAACTTAAAATGTAAATGAGGATTTTTACTGATAATGACTTGTAAATTACAAGAATAAACTACAAGTGCGGTCCTTTGTTTTCTATCAAGTGAGATATTTGAAATATGATATGTAAGAATTCCAGTAAGTAAAAGTTCATCTTCTTTATAATTATCTTTTCTTTTATAGGAGAAAATACACATGCTTCATTAATTCCCTGTCTTGTCATCTGTAATTCTGAGCTGGAGAAGTACATATGTTGGAATAATCCAATTGGCCACCGAACTCAATCTGGCAGTCTTATGATGAATGAACCTTACAGGTGAGCCTTAATAATTAATGAAGCGAATCTTGGGAATGGAGCCGGATTGTTTGATCAGGGCTTATGTAAGCACTGATGCGAGATTATTCCCTGTGAATTTTTCTGATTGGCTGGTCTATAGATTGTGGCAGTGATATTCAATCATTAGAATATCATTTCCTTGAAAGACTGCATAATCTTTTTGGATACGCCAATCATCCGAGTTGACCTCACTCTACCGAGCTCACATTGTTACGTGCTCATCACGTGTATTAATCCGATCTGACCGACCTCGGAGCTCGGCCCGTCAACAGGTTCCATTTCTAAAATTCTCATTGGTATTCGGTTCGATTTCCCTTAGCACTGGACTGAATCGAACCAAATTGCACCTACTCCTATGAAAAATGAAAATGTTTGAGGCCATTGCTGCAATTATCCCTTAAAGAAATGGTCCATGAAAGAAAATTCTCGAAAATGAAGAACAGTTATTTACCACACCCCAATTTGGTATAGATTAAAATCAAAATTTTAATAGATTTTGATAAAAAATAATGAAAGAAAATTCAAGATTCTATAAATGTGTTGTTAAAATTAATTGTTGACTTTGATGGGAAGTTTTAATCAAATTTTAATTTAGACCATACAAGGTAAAGAAAAAGTTAACAATTACATTCATGATGAAGCTCCTGACGTTCCCCCATGTTGAATTAGGAAAATGTGATTTTGCAATGTCCAAGTGGACTGGGTATGAGAGGAGCGAATTGTGATGGGTGGCTAGAGTTGGAGTAGAAGTTCGTGATGGGGATAAGAGATTTCCAATTTATTTTTATTTACATTTGAAAAAGAGAGGTACAATCTATTTTACAAATTATATTTTTAATTGTTAAATAGATTAAACAATAAAAAGTTCAGAACAATATTATCAAGATAAAAAGATTGGGGACCATGTTGCAAGAATCTATGCGTTTGAGGATTATGATGCAATCTTTGCAATTATATGGAGTAACTTGAAAAACTCCACGACCTGGGTGGAAATGTAATTTCCATCAAATTGACAGGATATTTTTGTCAAAGCAGCACAAAACCCCACTCCAGCTAGGGTTTCTTTCGTATTTATACTGTTTTTCTCCTCCTCCATCTCCATCTCAATTCTGAACGCAGTTTCCCGCAGCACCTCCTAGTACCTACACCCTCCACCTTAGAGCACAAACGCACACAAATCTCAGAAAACAGAAATGGAGAATGCTGTAGAAGTTGCCGGTCAAGAGCTACAAGACAGGGCTCACAGTGAAGTATTGCTTTTTAATCGTTGGAGATACGATGAAGTTCAGGTTTTACTTCTATTCCTAATACTTCTAACTTTTTTTTTCCCAATCTCAGTCATTAGATTTGATGCAAGCATAATTTATTATTATATTTTGTATTTTCTCTTCTTGTCGTTGTGGATTTGATATTTATTGGATGAGAAAATATTTCATTGTTTATTATTGTATTTTATGGATATGAAATTTATTAGCAATGGTTTATAATCCAGAAAATATTTGACTTTTGTGTAATGTATTTTCGTATGGTTCCGATTCAAATTAGGAATTTTCGAATTGAAATGGAATGAAAAAATATAATGTCCAATTTATAAGTTACAAAACTTCTCGGCTTGAAGACCCTGAGAAATTGTTTTATATGGTTTTCTAGTCCAAAAACAGAAATCTTGATGTTCATTCTGTGGGTGTCAAATTTTGCGATTAAGAATTCACTTGACTGTACTAAGTTTGGATTGTAACTCTATTAACAATATAATATTTATGCATACTTCTGAGTTTGAATCAATTTTTGGCCCGTAATTGGACCAATAACCAACAAGAAGAAAATATGTTGCTCCTTATTGCTATTGTTATTCCTTAAGAAAGTTGGAAATGAGTAGTGGGCATTAAAGCATGCAGCAAAATTCCATTTTTGTTATAGGTTGCCAGTACATGAAGCTTAAATTAAATTGCAGGCACCTTAATTTGTGAACTTATAATGATTAAATATTTAGTGATTTGTTTTGTTCTTTTCTGCTTTCACTTTGGGATTGTACACGAATTTTTTCTTCATGCTTCTCCATTGAAAGACTTGACCATGGTGTTGTCGGGTAAATGTGTAACAGGAGGAATTTTTTATGTAACTTAATGAAAGAAGATGTCTGAAAGGGTTCTTTCAATAGAAACCCTAGTTGATTAGATGCTAATTATTTTTGGAATTGCTTAAACCTTTGAACTGTTGCAATTTTTATTTCTTTAACAGATCAGTGACATTTCTGTTGAGGACTATATCACTGCAACTGCTGCCAAGCATCCGACCTTCATGCCTCACACTGCTGGGAGGTACCAAGCCAAGCGGTTTAGGAAGGCCCAGTGCCCAATTGTTGAGAGGCTGACCAATTCACTGATGATGCATGGGCGTAACAATGGAAAGAAACTGATGGCTGTCCGTATTATTAAGCATGCAATGGAAATTATCCATTTGCTAACAGACCAGAACCCAATTCAAGTTATTGTTGATGCTGTGATCAACAGGTACACAAAAAACTTTGTCCTGTTCTCTTTATCTACTGAACTTTGATAATTGTGAAGCAAAAGCTTAAAATATCTGTTTCATAGACACTTTTGCGGATTATCTGTGTTTTGAAGTATACATTCTGCACTGTGGCTAATTAAGATATATGATACTCGTGTGACTCTAACCTGCCCAACAATTCTTTGTTGTAAGTACCATATTAGTTCCATTCAAGTTAATTTCACAATTCAAAATATGAAAAGGTCGTGTTTGAATCCTTTTCAGAATTCAATAATGATAATAATCAAGCAGAGGCATCTTCCTTGGAATTGAAATATTGATGTTACATTATTATTTGTTGTCACATTATGGGATTAGCAAGCTAACATTCTTTTCTACACAAGCATGGGCCTTGTTTATGGAACTGAAATATCATTATTGGAAGTACATACTTATCTTTTCAGCATTTTACATTGCTTACTCTGCAGTGGACCAAGAGAAGATGCAACAAGAATTGGTTCTGCTGGTGTTGTGAGACGTCAAGCTGTTGATATATCTCCTCTTCGTCGTGTCAATCAGGCTGTATATCTTCTTACAACTGGTGCTAGGGAGAGTGCTTTCAGAAATATCAAAACCATAGCTGAATGCCTCGCCGATGAACTCATCAATGCTGCTAAAGGGTCTTCTAACAGGTGAGAAAGGGAGTTCCTTTGGTAAATGTACTTGCCATTCTAACAATGCCATGCTCACTGACAACCTTTTTTTGGTGCTTGCAGCTATGCTATCAAGAAAAAGGACGAGATTGAGAGAGTGGCCAAGGCCAATCGTTGAGAGGGGTTTATTTGGGATTCAACGGTTATCTTTAAGACAGTTTTGCTTTCAAAACAAGTTGTTTCAGTAAAGCTATGTATTACGACGGGTTTGTTACTTTGTTTTAGTGTTGGTTAAGCCTACTTTCTTTTATATGCGGAATGGATATTTAGGCGAATTCTTTATGTTCTGACACTGCAGTTTTTGGTTAAACGTTTTGAGTTTATTGTCCTTTCCATCTCTCTTACTCTCTCTTATCCATATGATGTCATATTTGTCATTACTGCTTGCCATTTAGCCCCTGTTTGAACTCTATTCTTTAAAAGTTCATTTTTCTCTGGACTTATTTTCAATTGCATCTTTTTTTTAATAAAATAATTTTACATGTAAATTCAATTTTTTTTTTTTACTTTATAGCTATATATTCTTCAAAAATTTATTATTACAGAACTCTTTTTTTTTTTCGAAAATAGGGTCAAACATAGGGTTTTAAGACTATTTGTGTCATTGTATAACATTGAGAAATATACCAATAATGCCGTTTTGAAACTTTCCCTCTTATTCTTATGTAACTGAAATTAAATTCGCTTACATTACGCTTTTCATTAATGGTAGATGCAATAGATATGCAATAATCAAATTCAATTATGTTGGTTTTGAACAAGAATCTTGATACTTCTTCATATGCTCTACAGACATATGGCAAAATAAAGTTTATCAGTTCGCAATATTCCGCTTTGAATGAATTATTTTACGAAGTTTGAGTTTTATTGTTCAGTAATCAGGCATTGCATTGATTAATTTTCGATTCAATGAATAAATCTGCAGTAATTCTAAAAGTGCATCAACCATTCTTTAATTTCATCTTTAACTATGAATAAAGGTTTGTAGATTTAGATTGATGCACCTGCGTTGAACAATTAATCGTTTTTTATATATGGGTTTTCAAAAATATTTACCACTTCACATAGATGATTTCGAATTAGTTGGTTGTAGTGTCACCACTTGAGAATTTCTTTTGACTTTTCTTTAAAATTTTATTTCTTGATATCTTAACGTAGCCATGATATTATTGTTTGTGTGGACTGGTTCATTCATTCTTCCTACTCAAATAGTTATTGAATTAGAAATTTCAATTCAATTGTCATTACGTTTTGTTTCATCAATGTGATAATATCTTGTGTGGATGCAGACATGGATTCCGTGAACATTTTGATGTAATACAGATACCTTTAGAATTCTCGTAAGAGACGGGGAAGTAGAAGGACAATCTTGTATTTCAAATGTTCAATTTTGCAATACCCATTCAATTCCTGAACTGAAATGCAAATTTGGGTGGTTTTAGGCCCTTTACTAATTTGTTTTGGGAGCTTTGTTACAAAGTTGTTTTGGTTGTATCTTCTTTGTACATCCATGTATACACAACAGAGATGTTTCATACTCTCTCTCTTTTTTTACCAATTTTCTCTGCCTATTAGGTTTTTGGGTAGGTAAATATTAATACCAAAGTTGAAAGTCCTAATTGTTGGGCCATGCAGTAGACAAGCTAAACTCGAAGAGAGGATATGTAAAGTAGCTCCTAAGTGGGCTATGAAAGTTTTGAAATTTTACAATGTATAGATCTTGAAGAATTTCGTAATTTCATGTGCCAAGAAATACATTAGCATTTCCCGAAGTTGTGTGAAAGCTCAAATAATGGAATTCATCTCCCCCTCACTTGTCAACTTGTTCAGCAAAAAGCATTTCTTGATAATCCAGTTCCCCTGCTCTCTAGAATTGTTGACGAGTTGCCCCCAAGGCATATCTCCCAGTGGCAAAGGGGAGGGCGGTTAGGGCTCAGTGCGGTAGTGTGCAGAGTTCGATTCCCCGCAAGGTGGAATTGACTTTGTTGAAAGCGGGAGTTACCATAGGGTTAAAAGCTCAAGGCCTATCCATAAGCTCTCCACCCTGACTCTTGGGAGGCACATCCTGCGATTTACCTCCTCCACAATGGCCCAGGGCAGGGTCGGTGGGGGGCCCTCAAAGTTGGGGTTCAACCTTTTTTTTAGAATTGTTGACGAGTTCCTCCATACTAGATTTCCGAATCAAATTCTGGACTTATTTCCTTTACAGACCCATCTTTAGTGGACATAGAGACTCAATGGTTGAAAGGAACATAAAGTATAATAGGAATAAAAACAACAAATGATGTATTCTCGGGAAGAAGCCGAATATGTAGACATCTCCAGTCATGACAAGCATCCCGTTCCCACCAGTAGAATCTCAAACTCTGTTCAGTAAAGAATTTTGGCACAGAATGTAATGCAAAGGATAGGAAACAATACATAGAAGGATTTTAAAACACCTCACATGGCACAACAAAGCGTCATCCTGGAAAGTTTGTCTCAAAGAAGAAGCAATTCACAAATTTGCGTGTTCCAGGACACGCAAACAGGAGAACAAGCCACTAGGTTAGTTGGTTGTCAACATTATTGATTATATTCTTTCAGTTTTATAAGAAGATGCATCGTGTTTTAGTCGCAATTCCATTGCATCCGATGTAATTTTTTTTGTTCCTTATTTGGTTGTGTTGTCGTATAGGCAATGTTGGATTCATTAGTAGCATGAACAAGTGACAAGTGCCGTCAATTGTTGGTTAGTTATACATTGATAAAAACACGAAATTCCGTATATTAGGAGAAATCGTGAAAACAAATTATCATCGATTTTGGAATTCAACAGTTGAAGGGAAAGTTACTCCATATTTTTTCTTGGCTTCATGGATTAGGATTTCTAGTGAGATAACAATGGAAAACGGAAGAAGTTATTTTCTTGGGTTTAGCCGTTTAGGGATTAGGACTTCTAGCGGGAGAGGTTAAGGCTTGAAATAAGGGATTTTGATAAAGGAAAGTCTTTCGAAAGATATGGCGAATTTATTGTTTGAGCGTAAATCATGGGAAGCATACATGGACTTCTCTTTTCATTTTTACATATAACATGTCAGTATTTTAGGTATATAAAACGTGAAAATGTAATATTGGAATTAGTATCTTAATTAGGGTATCGTGTGCAATTTCCACTACATTATTATGGGAAGAGTAAATCCACAATGACACTCATTTTTTACATTCCCGATATGTAAAAAATATGATCACTAATTTGAATAAGTGTTATTCAAATAAACAGTCAAATTGTTCCCATATTATGGAATGTCAATCAAGATGTCAACAAACTGTCAATGTAGCAAAATTCTTATGGGAAGTTAAATTGCAAAATTAAACATATACTTAAAATTAAAAATGAGATTTGTATCTTAATTTCTAATTTTTCAAAATTTATTTGATTTTACATGGAGAGGAGATCAAGTTTTTTTATTTAATCTTTTAGGAATACTATTCATTTTTTCCGCGCAACATGTGGGTTAAGATATTTTGAAGATAATGTTAGTATGTTCAATGTTAAGGATTGATAGACAGATGCGCATTGATTGAATGTGTCATATATGACACCTTTAGGGCACAATAAGAAAAAGGAAAAACTAAAGTTAGAAGCACTTTGTGTAAGAGAAGGGAATGTAAATAAAAGCAATTCTTAAGAGTATAGGCTTGAGGTTGATATTTCTCGGAAAAGCTAACTCAGCAAATTTGAGTTAATATAGGCATGTAAAGGGCTATAGTAATGTACGAGTATAATACTTCGATTTGGCTAAAATTCGATGACTTCTCCAGAAAAATCGAAAACTAATAATTGGAACCATGAATGTGAGAAGACATTATTATTCCACATTGCAATGAAGGGGTGGATAAGCACATTTTGGCATGGAAACAATTGCACTCTATTGCAATTAACGATATGAGTAAAATCTAATTATGACCGTATGAATGATACGACAACAATATTCACATGGAGGCCAATAGCAAGACCGCCTACATAAAAAGTTAGATTTTTCATCAAATTAACTCATAAAAAGTTAGATTTTTCGTCAAATTAACTCATAAAAAAACATGCACTCCTTTATCTCCAAATTTGTCCATGTGCGTGGAGATAAAGAGATGCACCTTGAAGAAGGCCTCATCTCGATTTACTCAAGATGGATGATATGCTTTGGGGCAACCCCTGGAAACCAATGCAAGGCACAATTATTGATAAGCATTACAAACACATATAGCCAAGAAAATATAGTTCAGAATACTGGTTTTATTTCCTTTTGAGCTTAGAATTCTGAAGGTTGAATACATTTTTTAGAACTTACAGTCGATTGCATAGCACAAGGTCCCTACCATTGAAACAAATGTCCTCTCCTATCTTCTTCCTAGCTGAAGCTTTTGCCGTGGCCTTACAACTCGAAGGATTTTTTGAATTCCTCACCTTTATTCGCTTCTCTCCAGACGATTTCACCAGTTTGGCTACATCTGTTTCGATCTCCATTTCAGTGTCCTCCATAGCCATTGCTTCATCAACGTCAGATTTTATTGCGGCTAGTGGATCATTCAACTCCAGACATATGGAGGTGGTACCAAGTTTTGAATAAGTATGTGAGAAAAGCAAAGTGTGCAAATTTAAGAAGGCACTATATGGATTAAACTAACCTCTTAGAACATGGTTTCGGAGGCTCACGAAGGTTATGTTTCAAACTCGCCTTAGAAATATTATTTTATTTTTGTACAAATGAGCTACTAGTATAAAGACACAGTGAAATCATTTTTTTCTCCACAAGTGAAATACCAGCAAAGGGATCATATAAATAAAACATTGAGGAAAAAGAGTATAACTGAGAGGAAGAAAGATCGCCCCGCACATGATGAACAATCTCTGCACACATATCAAGCACGGGAATAAGGCAACCTCTATTTCCCAAAAGTATGAGGTTATGTCAACTGATTAAACTGCACGTTTAAGAAGGCATTCACATACTATAAAAAATGAAGAAAACTTATCATTAATAAACCAGGATGTGTACAACTTGTGAAAATGAGGTATTTTTCATTATCACAAGTCACGACTTACCCAGTCAACCCAAGATTATGTGGATTTTCATGAGC